TTCAAACACTACCTTAGCCCAGGCTGTTTCTTCAAACACTACCTTTAGCCCAGGCTATTCCTTCAAACAGTACCTTGGCCCAGGCTGTTCCTTCAAACAGTACCTTGGCCCAGGCTGTTCCTTCAAACACTATCTTAGCCCAGGTTGTTCCTTCAAACACTACCTGAGCCCAGGCTGCTCTTTCGAACACTACCTTAGCCCAGGCTGTGTCGGCTGCACATACCAGGTGAGGGACCTAGCAGGCTACTTACTGAAAGATGCTGATGGTGTCTGTCCCCTCTGCCTGGAACTTACTGTGGCCAATGGCAGCTGTTCTGTTGCTGCCAGCACAAAGATCTCTCTTAGGAAACTGTCCAAGCCACCTTTGCTAGGTGAGAGGGTCCTCTGGGATCTAACCCCCAAGTCCTGACTTATTCCTCCCAGTGAGGGTCAGTGCTCTCAATCACAATGACATTTTCTTCACTGCCACACCCTTAGGTCAATTATCATTCCTTTACTTACATATTATTCATTCATTTAAATATCATTCCTTCATTTACATATTACTCATTTGGGCTCTGATTCCTCCTCATTCCAACTCCTGAAAACCCTCCTGGGTTCTTCCCAGGGAACGCCTTCCCTGCAAGTACCTTCCCTGGGAGCACCTTCCCTGGGAGCACCTACCCAGGGAGCACCTTACCTGGGAGCACCTTCCCTGGGAGCACCTTCCCAGGGAGTACCTTTCCTGCGAGCACCTTCCCTGGGAGCACCTTCCCTGCGAGCACCTTCCCTGCGAGCACCTTCCCTGGGAGCACCTTCCCAGGGAGCGCCTTCCCTGGGAGCACCTTCCCAGGGAGTATCTTCCCTGCAAACCTTCCTCAGGCCTCATCAACTTTACATCACACCATTCTGGCCTAAGTGTCACTACACAGTTTCCCTGTAGCTTTTCAAACACAACCTCCACATCCAATTGTATGACCTGGCTCACACAGAGTTCCCTCCTGACAAATGATTACAGTGTCAGCACATCGCAAAAGCATAGCTACAATTTTCAAAAAATTTACAGGAACGTAGAAGGAATAACACACACACACGAAATAAGCCATGAAGCTGGATTTTTCTAAGCCCAGCTACAGTTAGTTTAGATGTCACAGGGCTCTTGTGTTCCCATGGTAACCAGCATACACTCAGAACTTACAAACATATATGTAAGAGTTGGAAATGTTCTGCACAGCAGTGGGAAGTGCCAGGTCTGCCCCCACTACCCAGTAGATCAGTTGAGCGGACCAGGCAGCTTTGGCTTCTTTAAAGTGCGGTCTCTTGGGCTCCTTCTAGAACAACTGAACGGGAATCTAGGAGAACTAAGAATCTTTTTTTCACTAGTGACTGGGGATTCTTGAGCATGTCGACATCTGAGAGTCACAGGGCTCGATCTGTGATCCCCTGAGTGAGATAAGGCTGTGACCGCTCCGAGGTAGAGTTGAGGAGATGGGTTTTATTGTGGATATGAGGGAGCGAGAATAAGAGGCATCTGGAAAAACCCAGAGCAGGGAGACAGAGTAGGGGACTGAACAGGGCCATGAGACGAGAGAGAGACAGAGAGAGAGAGACAGAGACAGAGACAGAGAGAGACAGAGGGAAGGGGAAAAGAGGTCCAAGAGAGAGGGACCAAGAGAACCAAGAACGGAGCCAAGAGAGCACATGACCAAAATGGCAGGGCTATACAGGAAACGAGAAGCCAGAGGAAGGGGAGCACCTGGACCAGAGAGGTATAGGGCGCTGAGTGAGCCTAGAGGCCAGCGTGCACATGTGTGTTTCTCCTGCACATGCTAGTCCCTTATTATGCAGGTCACAGCCTGACTGCTGGACTCCAAGAATGATCATGAAATTTCCTGAGCTAGAAGCAGACAGAATACATCTACCTGAGATGAGGCAGTATTCTTGGGATATACCTGGTAAAGGAGATAAAAATGCCTTCCCCTTCAGAGTTCAGTCCTTGCGTATAAGGATAAAGGTAACAAGTTACTGACTGATATAAAATAAATGGGCTTTTAGTGTGATCGAAGATGTGAGATGAAGAATGTACCGATCAAGGTGAGAGGGGTCACAATGGAGAGCGGGTAATGCCTCTTCTCCATTATATGCATGCCCCAAACAGCTTGCATATTTATTACAAAGGTCTGATTGGTGGAACCAATCGTACGTGCAGTAGAGGTTGAGAATGAGCTGGGGGCATCTGGTGGTCCGACCAGACCTTCTGTAAGGCTGGTGTTCCATCCTTTGCTCCCCTTCAAACTCCCCTCGCCCCTCTACTTCCTGTAGAAGGTTCAGACTGACCATCGCGGCCCCTTGCTTCCCGTGGGCCACCCTGGTGGTGTCAACTGTGTTCAGGGGCTGTCCTGAAAGCTGTCCCTGACAGGTCCCTTCCCTAGGATGCCTGGATAGTGTGTGTCACTAGGGTCGTTAGAGTATGGACTCTGGTGGCCCTAACAAGGAAGTTCTGCCACCCTTCCTCAGTAGGCCAATTAATGGTGAAAACAGAGAAAAGAAATTTATTCAATGTGGCCATTTTGGAAAGAGGCCCCATGACTCCTAAAATCCATCTTTGAGTCCTGATTCAACATTTAAATTTAGGGGATCAGCGTGTGCATAAGGAGACAATCTTGGCCGGGGTGAGCTGCTTGTCACCATTGCCTGGACTCCAGTTTGCCCTGCAAGGTGACTGACAATCTGTCACAGCTACAGGACTCTGGGACACAAGCTCACCCTTCGGCTGAGACCACACTTCTTGCAGTGTGAGATTCATGAGGAAATTCCAATCTCTTGGAGTTCATTGTCTCAGTCGTCTGGTAGTTAAAGGGAAGGGCACAGGGTCTCTTTAGAATAACTTCATTTCCACCAGGATGGTTGTAGTGAGGATTCCCTGCTGGGTGTGGTGGCATACACCTGTAATAACTTGGGAGAGGAAGATGGAGAATCAGGAGTCTAGGCCAGCCTTGACTGCATGAGACTGTCTCAGAAAAATACAAAATGAAGAAAATTAATATGACCAAAATGTTTTGCATTAAGTTCCCAAATAATTAATACAATGTATTTTGATTGAACACAAATTATACGTATGTGTGTTTGTGGGAAAAAAAAATAGGGATTCCCCAGTATCTGGATCCTTCAGGGAGTCTACAGACTGGGGGCTGTTAAGGTTTACTCTGCTTGCTTTTTGTTTAGCTAGGCAATGTCTGAGGTGCCCGCCTTTGCCCTACAGAGAAAATGGCTGAAACCTGCTGCACGGCCTCTTCTCTTCCTTTTGCTCTTCAGACCACAGACATTTACAAGAATGTGTACTGAGAGATCGGAAGGTCCACCCCAGGTAGATTCCTTTAGCAGAACTGGAGCTGGCTAAGAGGATCCGCAGATCTGACACAGGCAGGGCTCTGAGGAACGGTCCTTTTAGAAAAAGGAGACACACCTCTAGCTGTTACTGTCAAGCGGCCTTGATCAGGTTCGTTTTCTCTGCCAGTTAAACAATTCAAAGGCAGGAAATATCTCAAATGTGACAAGTAGTGGCAGGGAAAATCTCGGATACAGGGGACAGGATCATCCAGTGAGGACGCACACACACACACACGCACACGCACACACAAACACACAAGAGAGCAAGACTCTGTACAAAGCAGAGCACTTGGGAGTTCAAACTCTGGTTTCTCTTCAAGGGCTGGGGGGTGGAGGGGATTAAGGATCTTTGTCCCCTAATTTAAGGTTGATCATTTTGAACAAAGACTGGAGGTTGGCAGGGCCACACATCCCTTGTCTGGAACTGGCCTTGAACTTGGACTGGTTCACTGCTGGGATGGGGTGGGGGTGGGGGGACTGGGGTTAGGGAGGTGAAGAGTGGAGGGGGGGGTGGGGAGGAGGAGGGGAGCTTGTCACAGATAGGAGAAAAATACAAGCAGGCAAGGTCTTTGTTTCAAGTTGCCAGGCCTTTGTCAGGTCAGAAGGGAGGAGGGCAAGACAGCAGCTGGAAGTTTGACATCTTTATAATTCAGCTGTGGTCCCTCTCCCTGTCAGGACTATTAGCCGTAGTCCCTCATAGCTACACTAAGAAACATTGCAGGATGCAGGCCCAGATGTCCTGTCTGAGGATCCCACTCATCTAGGGCATCTTTTTTTTTTCCTCACAAAAATAAAAGAAATGAGCATCTGACCCTTGGCTCAGGCAGAGAGGATCATAACCACCTGGGAAACTCACCATTCTTTCCCATCAGCTTGTAACCTGTAATCTGTCTGCTGCCTCCCTCCAGAAGCCCCGCACTTCTACCTAAGCAAACTTCAACTGCTCAGGCTCCTTCTGTGTCTTCTGTAACAGGGCCCCGGACCTTAGCACAGCTGACTCCATGGTGGAAGTTCCATCCAGGCTGTAACACTCAGCCTGTAGACAGCACCACCCGCCAAACTGAAACAAAGCCTGAATCCATCAAAGTCCACATAGCCCTGGGAAAGTCTCTAAATGTCCTACCTAGTTCCACCTCTGGCTAACTGTTCTTGTTAACTGAAGTATGTCAACCCAGAACAGGGTTTTTGTGCTTAAAAGCCCACCCTGAGAAAGGCTCAGTGCTGTGCTTGGGTCTGAACACCCAGTATAGTCATTGGCCAACTAATGAAGGGAACGAAAATAATTTTATGGCTGGGGTGGGGTGGTCACCACAGCAGGGGAAACTGTGTTTAAAGGGCTGCGACATTAGGAAGGTTGAGAACTACCCATAGAGTGAGTTCCAGGGCAGCCAGGGCTACAAAGTGGGGTCCTGTCAGGAAAGAAGGGAGGAAAGGAGGGAGAGAAGGAGCAAGGGAGGGAGGGAGGGGAGAGAGAGCTGACGGATGGAAGGAAGAAAATATTCATGCTCTTTGATTAGCAGCAGAAGGTTTTGTTTGTTTTTGAAGGGGAATGGGATTACTCAAATCCAGGATCTTGCTGAAGCCAAACGAGCTGTATCTCCAGTCCTGAGCCATTCCCCCACCCCCTACCCAAAAGCCAATTCGATACATCTTGTCTGATATAAATGAAGACTCCCATCCTGAATATCTCCTGGAAACAGAGGGCAGACAGGAGCAGCAGAGACTGGTGCCAGAGTCAGCTCCGGCGCAATGTGAGATCACTGGCTAGTGGACGTTGAGAAAATAAGTCTCCTTCCCCTTAATTCACTCCACTAAGCCTTCTGAGCATCAGGCTGCCTTCCCTTCCCCCATGGAGCAGGCAGCCTGCACAGTCCTGTCAGTGCAGACATTCTGGAGATATTTGCAAGGTTAAAAAACAAATGCTAGGAAGGTTTTGCTTTCAAATACATTTTGCAACATAATCTTGCTTTGTTCCTATTATCTGGCCTTGAGGGAAGCTGTGTTAAAGGAAACCACCTAGGCAAGTTTAACAGCAGTCTGTGTGGTAACGCTGACCTATAGGCTAGTCCTAGACTGCACCAGGTGGGGCATGCTTGTTGGTCTTCATTCCCCAGAGCTCTTCCAGAGAGGGCTGCGAGATCATCACTCTCTAAAGCAGGCAGAGGCAGTGTGAAGGCTTGACTGGCAAGGCTGCCAGAGGCAGAGGCGACCCTAACTTGGCCCAGAGGCCAGAGGCCTTCCCCTGCTGGTGTTCACCTGGCTGGTGGGAGGAGAACCCCAGCAAACTTAGAAGGAATCTGGGAAGTGTGGAGAGCTGGTGACTCACTGCTAAACATTCCCTGCTGGCAGGAAAGGCTGCTTCTAGGCACCCCCTGGCCAAGGTCCTAGGAGAAAGTGCCCCTGGCTCCTCACCGCCTAGAAGGGCAGTCTGGAGACATTCAGTCCACTTAGCTAACACAACAGAATCTTCAGGGGTTGGTAGTGCTGGAATGTGTCCGGTTCTCAGTAGCTGGATCCCACATCTTGCAACCTACTAAGTTTGGGTAATTCTAACGCTTAAGGGGTCCCTGAAGCATACTGGGGTGACAATCACCTTCGTGGTTCAGAACCGGAGCAGGGGTGTGGCATTTGGGTTGATAAAGTTCACCCCTGCCCCTGGTGACTTCTCTTGCCCTAAGGAAGGATTCTCTCATCCTCGGGATGGAGTGGCTTTTCTTTATCCATCAACCGGGCAGGCAGTAACTGATGTTCTCGGCTCCTTCTCCCTTCCAGCGGCTGAGCTCAGGGCTGGACCCCTGGAAAAGAGCATTCATAAGACACAAAAGCGTAAACCGCAATCTGGAATTCATGGGGTGGTTTTCCGCTCCCTCTCTCCGCCCCCGGCTGTTTTTTGTGACTAGCCGAATCCAGGCAGCCTTTTCACGGTGGCAGCCTCCCTGGAGTCCGCTCCCCCTCCCTCCTGCGGGTGCTTTTCATTCCACAGCCACTCCAGATGGAAGGGCTGTTCGCCTCTAAATGGCATAAATTGCTATTTCTTTACTGCTCTTCTTATAAGAAACTGCTCTGAATAATGTGGTGTGGAGGACTTCCCGTCTGCAGTCTTCCTGGTTTCCCAGACATTGATCTTTTTTTCTTTTCCTTCCTTCCTCCCTCCCTCCCTCCCTTCCTTCTCCCTCCCTTCCTCCCTCCCTCCCTTCCTTCCTTCCCCCTCCCTTCTTCCCCCCACCCCCATCCCCGATCTTGAACTCTCAATCTCAGCTCTGCCTGAGCGGGCGCAGAACGGGTGGGGTGATAATTAACCCGGTGCAGAGAGCGCCCGGGCAGGTGGAGCTGGCGCTCGGCCGGTGTGAGCGGTGACTCACCAGCTGGAAGAGAACCTGGGTACGCTACGGTATACTTTGAACAGCAACAAATATTTGGCTTGAGTCATGTGTGGATGTTTACGGATTATCTCGAAGGAAAGCTGGAGCCGTGACAATTCCTAAATAGGGGAAGACAGGTTGACAAGTCGTAAAAGCGCGGAATTGGAATAAGGTCCGCCCACCCATCAGCTTTGTTGCTAAGATTCTGTATTGATTTCTGACTCAGAGGGTGGGGCAGTGTCAAACAATTGTTCAGAAGAAGCTTGCCACTGTGGGACCCAGAGTGCGCTCCCGGGTGGTCTCAGGAGGGGGCAAATTACTGCAAGCGTGGTGGTGCCTTTTCCCTCTTGGGGACCACTTCTGCAAGCCAAGGCTGAGCTTGCCCCTTTTCTCCCTCCCCTCCCATCCTTTCCCTTCCTTCCTCCACCCTCCCCTCCCTCTCCTCCCTGCCCCTCTCCTCTTCAAAACTGCCTCTTCAGGCCTTCAAAGATGATAATTGCAGATTAAGGGGATACCAAAGGCTAATCTGATAATTTATCAAATATTCATTATAGATGTCCTTACAAATTGATTTCCAGGCTGTAAGGATGGTTCAGTGGGTAAGACTTGGCACCCATTGTAACATGAGTCCCATCCTTGGAATTGAGTTAATATTTTGTTTTTAAGTCTGGAGCAGTGGTGCACACCTTTAATTCCAGCACTCAGGAGGCAGAGGCAGGCAGATCTCTGGGAGTTTGAGGCCAGCCTGGTCTACAAAGTGAGTTCCAAGATAGGTCGCTGTAGAAAGACCATGTTTCAATAAATTAGTTAAGTGTAATAAAAATGAAAACAAAAAAATCTACTTCCTCAAATGTATTATATATGTAACTCAGTTAAACAGTGATATCAAGCCATGTTAAATATATATGTGTATATATATATATACACACACACATATACATATATATCCAGAATTTGCTCATTGTTTCATAACCAAATACCAGCTGGATAAAAGCATGTTTTTCTGTATTAACATTACGAGTGAGGTAAATTTTGGAGGAAATTGCAGAGTCAGAAGATAACCCTGTTGCAGTTTCTCGTGGGGGAGGGGTGGGTAGTGGTTATTGTTAGGAATAATCTTAAAATGAGTCTCTCTGCAGACAAAAATAATTTCAATCAATCAGACCGGGTGGCCGGGAAAGCAGGGCAGGGCGGGGGGGGGGGGGTGTTACACACAAACCCCAAAGACCGCGGTGTTCTTTTTCTCAGCAGCCTAAATAGCCTGTGGGAGTGGTCCTGACTCTCCCTGAGGAGGGGTCAGCACTTGGTGGGCTTTTCCGGAGGTGGAGTCCGGACCAAGGCAACTCCCAGGCCAGGGGCTGGGGTGATGCTTCGAACAGAATATCCCAGGGGGAGGGCGCTAGAGATGGAGCTCACTCCATTGGCGCCCGAAGGATGAATGCCAGGGGCTGGGGTGCCGCTTCGAACAGAATATTCCAGGGGGAGGGCGCTAGAGATGGAGCTCACTCCATTGGCGCCCGAAGGATGAATGCCAGGGGCTGGGGTGCCGCTTCCAATCATCTATCAGCAGATGATTGTTTGCGTGGTGAGATGAGCCCATCACCACAGGGAAGTTTAGCATAATTAACAAGGTGCCTGAAGTGTATGCACCTCCAGAAACGCCTAAAAACAAACAAGTAAATCTCACCCTCAGTGAAGTGTGCTGGGGAAAAGCCGAACCTGAGCCAATTACAGTCCAAGGTGAACTGTAATTTCTGATCTAGAGAGAGGAGGAAAGGGGAGGTCCGAGTCAGAGAGGGTCTTACAAGGCAGGAGCCAGTCAAAGCTGACCTGTGGGCATTTCAGGGAGACAACAGGCTTACCCTAAGTCAGTGGAGGAAGAGGAAAATACAGAGGGGACCCCTCCAGGTGAGGCAGGATTGAGAAACACTGTAAGAGATTTAGCAACCAAATGACAGGTTCACCCAGACTGCATCTCCGTGTCTGATATCAGAGCGCTCTTTAGATCTCCGGCTCCTTTCAGCTTTGTTGACTTCAACACACTTCTTTCTCTGGGGCTGGTTCCACTCTGTTAGCAGCTCTCCTTGGCAGGTATCCCACAACTCTGGCATCTCCAACATCTTAGGTTCTCCAAGGCAATCCAGGCTTCACCTTCAGAGCTTCACACAGGGCCTATCTAGGTCTCCATGCAGGGACACTCCGGATATAGTCCTGGCCTCAGCGGCTCTTCTTTGTTGCAGAGGGAGCATCCATAACCCCTTTCTTCTGTCCTGACTCTAAAGCCAGAACCATGTGGCTGAAGCTGCCAAGTTCTGCAGCTTTCTGGGGCTGGAACATGGCCTCCTCACTCACCAGCTTTCTGTTTTAGATGCTTTCCTTCACTGCCTAAGCTTGGCTGTCCTGGGCCTTACTTCATAGACCAGGCTGGCCTCAAACTCAGAGATCTGCCTGCCTCTGTCTTCTGAGTGCTGGGATTAAAGTTGTACTCCACCACACTCGGCCCTAAACTTTAATTTGTTTTCACAAGTTGGAAGCTTAGCTAGGTGGGGTTGTGTCCTGAGGTCACCATTCCCTTTAGCCCTCCCATTTAGCAGCAGGCTTTTCTTCAACTTCTTCATACTTCTGCAACTTTCCTTGCTCGGCTCCTTTTCCACTACGAAAAGCAAAGCAACACTTGTCTATCTGGAAATCTCCTCTGCCAAGCTGTAAATCCATAACTCTTCAATTTAGTCTCAGGCGGATTATTTGAACAAGGGCAGAAAACAGCCACATTCTTTGCCAAAATATGGCAAGAACGAGCTCTAGAGCACATGCTAAGATCCCTCTCCTCTGAAACCTCTTGAGGCAGCCCCCACAGTCAAATCACCCTCAGCACCATCTTCCGTGTTTCTACCAGTGTGGCCCATGAAGCCCCTACTTAAAGCATCCAGCTGCTTTTCTAGTCTAAACTTCAAAAGTCCCCAATCCTGCAAACAAAAACATGGTCTGGCCAATCCCCCCAACACCCCACTCCTGGAACTGGCTACTGTCTATTGCTGTGGTGACACCACTACCACAGAAACTCTTATAAAGGAAAGCATTCAACTGTCCCTGGCTTACAGGTTCAGAGGTTTAGTCCATTGTTCTCATGGCAGGAAGCCTGGTGGCACACAGGCAGATGTAGTGCTGGAGACAGAGCAGAGAGCTCTATATCTGGACTGGAAGGTAACAAGCAGAGAGTGACATTGGGCTGGCTTGAGGTGTCTAGACCGCAAAGCCCACCCCCATTTGGCACATTCTTCCAGCAAGGCCACGCCTCTTCCAACAAGGGCGTGCTGTACCGTCCGTCCGTACTACTATGTGTACTACGTGTACTACAGTACTATGCCTGTAGTGTAGTACCATAGTACTATATTCATGAGCCGGATAAGAGCCTGGAGATTTAAACACACCAAGACACACAGACAGAGACACGAGTCATCCTTGAAACAAGAATGTCCCCCTTTATTGTGTACCAGAGACGCTTATATATGGATCCTTAACTGGTAGCCACGCCCCAGGCAAACCCACCAGAAACCACTCTCCTACCATCGAGCTCCTGAGGGTCTCCTGCTCAGAGCAGCTGCAAACACAGGAAAACAAGTTGTTTTGCTCAGAGCAGCTGCAAGCATAACAAGTTGTTTACAGGAAATTCAGGGTCTGGGTTCACAGCCCCCAACAGCATGCATCCTAATTGTACTTACCATGCGCCTAAGGGGGCCGTTTTCATTCAAATCTGAAGCCTTGCTCTCTGACTTCCAACATCTAGAGCTGAGTCAATATGGTTCTGTTGTTCAGCCATCCACTCTGCGGGGCTCTGTGATGATAGCCCTGTATACACACTTACTGTCCTATGATATGCATATTTATTTCCTTCCTCGTGGTTAATTTGCTAGATGTACGTGGGGCAGGGCATTTTGTTCCCCTTTTTTTGTCAATGGCTAGATCCGCAGCACTTGACTATAATCTGTTACAAAGTCTGGCTAATTGGATAAGCTAGGGCTTCAGTACACATGTGTGCAATGCAGACCAATGGAGGCACTGCTTCTGTAGGGGACACACGTTTAGTGAGACAGTGCACACCATGGGCAGCTCACTACTGTGTGACTCCAGGTCCAGGGACACCTGATACCTCTGCTCTCTGTGGGTTCCAACTCTCACGTGAAAAATATTTTTTAAAGAAGGCTATAAGGGAGACTTTGGAGAAGAGAAACTGTGGCTAAGAGTGGGGAAAGAAAGAAGAAAATAGGGTATTGTAGGTTCCCTTGTCGCCTTCTAGACTCACGGCACCTGTTGAAAACCACTGCCGTGAAAATCCTATCTTAGACATTCCAGCTTCCTAATGTAGAATTACGATGACATTTTCTCACATTTCTTTGCAACTAACAGGCACACGGTGTCTTCCTCATCAACCTAACACGCCCAGTAGAGACTTCGAGGAGAGGACTCACGTTGACCTACTTTGAGAGCAGACGTAAGGATGTCGATACACCACCCAGAATCTAGCTTCTGGAAAAGATACAGGGTTTTCTGGCAGAAGCACTGTCTAGAATGCAGGTGCTTGGAGCAGGCATGCTACTGGTGCCCAGGACAGCAGCAGCGGCAAAGGAGACCCTGTTTGCAGTAGCAGCTTTGTCTCTGGATGCCCAGCACTGGTGACAGTGCGGTTCTGCAGCACAGCTGTGAATGTTGTGTCCCTAAGCACAGTCCCTTGCCTAGTGCTCTAATCGCCCTGATGATTCTGCAGCTACCTAAAACCCCTTGCTGAAACCCCATGGCTACTTAACCAAATAATTTTAAATAGAAGAGGTACAGGTTGGCGCACCACAAAACACATGTTTTAAGTCTTGCTACTGGAAAGAAAATGTTTGTGTGGTAAAATACACATCACATAAAGTTCACCATTTTCACCATGCAAGTTAGAAGCATTAAGTACTTTCACAATGTTGTGATATTTTGTTAGACCTGAAGTTAACCTATAATCCCCACCTGCCCAAGGTCCAGGTAACTTCCTGGGATTCTAGGAATTGTAGTTCTTAAAAGATAACACCTGACCTAGTAATTTCCTCAGATTCTGGGAGTTCTTGGAAAAATAGCAACAAAGCCTCATGAGAAAGTACGGTAGCCGTGGGGTTTACCCAGATAAACTCCTCCAACACGTGTCTCAAGGCCACTTACCTGGTAGATTTCCAGGTGATGGTCCTGTCAAGGTTACATCTTGGTCAGTATTTAATGTTTTTAAATGAAAGCTTGCTTGAATTCAGCCAAAATGGTAGAACGGTTTTTCTGGCGAATTTCAGGATTGACAGGATCTCTGCCATCCATTTCCAGAAGTTTGAAACTTAAAAAATTTTAACATGAATCATGTCTTTGAGGACTCTAGACTTCTAGGCCTATTTTAATTCAAATTAATGAGCATTAATTATCCAACTTCTACAGTGTAAGAACTCTGTTTTTGCCAGATTGCCAGAATCTAATTAATCCCTGAAAAATATTTGTCTGGTACTGAGATATTCTTTTTTAGATGAATAGAGAATTGTATTTAACATCTAAATGTATTTTAGGCAAAGAATATTACTTTCTTTCAGATACTAATTTGAAGGATCTGGATAAATCCAGACCCTTCTAGCAGGAAGAATAGAGCCAAAAATCTAATAGGGAGAGAAGAGCCAAAAATTTTGGTTAGCCTGTTCAGTGACTCTGTCCCAGGAACTAGCTGACCATAAAGCTAGATTATAATCTTGAGAATAATCTTGAGAAAAGGGGAGTTACCCCCTTGTGATTTTCACTGGTATTTTCGGAATTTTCCAATGATGCCCTCCATACCCCCTTTGGGTTGTGGTTTCTTCCCCTAAATATCCCTTCTCCCAGCTACTCAGGGTCAAACTCCTATACATGGGAAATGAGTTTCGGCCCTAGCACTGCGCTTATTCCTGTCAATAAACCTCATGTGATTGCAACAAGGATGGTCTCTCGTGAGTTCCTGGGGAGTTGTGTTATCCCGAGACTTGAGTGAGAGTCTCCCCACTCCAGGGGTCTTTCAGTTAACTGCAAATAAAGCTAGGAAAGATGATAGATTGGGGCTCACAGAGATGATGTGGCCTCTCCCAGGTAAAACTGTTAGTGTTGCCCGTGAGCTGTCCCAGGCTCTTGCCACCGCCAGACTCCACATGCCAGAGTGGTTCCTTTGCTGAAAGCCTCTTTAATCTGCATTCAGACAGCTTTTAAAAAGAAAATCTTGCCAGGCAGTGGTGGCACACGCCTTTAATCCCAGCACTCAGGAGGCAGAGGCAGGCAGATCTCTGTGAGTTCAAGGCCACCCTGATCTACAAGAGCTGTTCTAGGACTAGTTCCAAAGCAACACAGAGAAACCCTGTCTCGAAAAAACAAAAAAGAAAGAAAATCTTCAGCTGATGCCACCTCATGTCCAGACCCAAGAAGCCTTGAGACTGAGTTCAAAATTCTCAGTGTCTCCTGAAGTTCGTTCCCTGAGCCTTGTGTCTTCATCTCCTCTTGCCCTTGGGACAGTTTTGTAATTAATTAGTCAAATGGTCTAGAACTTTTCCGGAGTCCTGGCTGTCTTCAGTGAGGTGGGAGCTGTGGTTTCTATTCTGTTTGTAGGAGTGGAAGACACTGCTGTTTCCTCCTCCAGTTCCTGAACGCTGCCTCTCTAAAACATGAGGAGAGGCACTTTCCTGGCCTCGCTTCCTTTGTAGCTCTCCCGGGTTAGCTTACAGCTCTCCGTAGATTTCTCTGGAATACAACTTGGAGCAGAGGTCTCAAAGCTCAGACTGGGAGCAGTCAGATCTGACCAAAGTTGTTGCAAGTTGTTAGTGGTTTAGCTGATCCCAGGTGACAGGGACTCCAGTGAATGAGCGTCAGTTTCTGTTCAAGGTGTTCTCCATCATGGCAGGGAAGCCAGGGAAACAGGACAACCTGACCACTGGCCACACCGCATCCACAGTCAAGCAGAGAGAGATGCGTGAACGTACATTCTCAAGTAAGATATTCTTAGTCTAGTATTTGGGCAGTGCCTGGGAAGCTGGAACGGGCATATGCCCACACCATGTGCATGGAGAGAAACTCCTTCAGTGGGAAGAAGTGGTGTTCGTGAAGGCATGAGACAGAAATCGCCAGTATGGCATGTCTGTGCCTGGTGTGGGGACTGGAAAGGCTGAAGCAAACTAGCCTTCTACCAAGGTCATCCAAATTAAAGTCCCCCGGATGGAACTATGACAGGTTAGTAAGGGAACCCCATTTAGTTTCTGCTTCAAAACCTCAGACTGACTTTCAGTGATAATAAGAATGCCCTAAGATTTCTGGAAGAAAATTAATAATAAAGCAGTATTTGATGGGGGAAGTTGGAGCATTATTTATTCAGCACTATTTATTGAACATATTTTGTGTCAAGTTCTCTTCTGGGGTGGGGGTAGGGTATAGTTTAGTCAGTACAGTGATTGCTTACAAGCATGAGAATATGAGTTCAGCCCGCAGAGCCCCTCACCCGTGTATTCCCTGTGCTTGAGAGACAGAGACAGTAGATCCTGGGGATGCGGTGGCAGCCAGCCTCACTGGTGGGACTCAGATCCCAGGGAGAGACTCTGTTCAAAAACAAAATAGCAAAAGCAAAACAACTTGAATAGCACCCAAGGTATGGCCCCACAAGCATTTTCCACAATCTCTCTCTGTCTCTGTCTCCCTCCCCTCCTTCTTGGTTCTGAGTTCTCTACACTAAGCAAAACAGTCATGTGGCTGTTATCAAGACCTTAGATACTAATAGGAACAGGCAGAAAATAAATATCCCATGTCTGGTAGAGAAAGTACAAGAAAGAACACTAAGTCTGGGTAACATTGAAGAGGTATGACTGGAAGTGTATGCTTTTTAAAAAAATAGAGTCATGTGGATGTCACAGAGAAGGTGACATTTGAGTCACCTACTGAAGGAGGGCGTGGAAGGTGCCTCAAGGACATCTAGAGTGTCCCAGACAGACAGAGGGAACAGAAGGTCAGACCTCTGGAGTCCAGACATGCACGTCAGACCCCAGGGTTAGCAAGGACGCCCGTGTGGCTAGAGTAGGGTAAGAAAAACACAGGCAGAGCATCTGCAGTCAGGCTCCCCTCTCAGTGAGAACACACCTCACACACATCCTTGGTCTCACAGACGACATTTTGTCAAGACGTTCTCTCTTCCATAGGGTGAAGTAGGTGGAGGTGCCATTTGTTCCTTTCTTATGAACTTAAAAAAGGGTTTATAATTTGATGTTTATATGTGAGTGCCCACATGTGCAGCGTGAATATGCCTGGTACTCAAAGAGACTGGAAGAGGGTGCCATATCCCCTGGAACTGGAGTTAGAGGTGGTTTTAAGCAACCTGATGTGGGTGCTGGGGACACATTCAGATCCCCTGCAAGCCAGCCCCCTCATGACTTTTTGATTACTCTTTGCTTTAAGGGCTGTTTTATCTCAGCGAGCTGCTATTTTCCTGCCCCGGCTTTACAGACACGGTCTGCCTTTTCCCCTAATAATATGGGAGCCATTTGCCTTCTGTTGGCGAGCCCGGGCAGAATGCAGCCATGTGAACAACAAGTGGGAGGTTGAGCCTTATCTCTGGGCCAAGATGCAAGAGCCAGCAGAAAAAGCGAAGCTCAGGGTGGAAGGATAAAGGAAGGGAGTGAACTCCAAGACAAAGCAGCCCATGAAAACGCCAGGGATGGAGCCCAGAGACGTGGTCCCACCTTGTCCTGTCAATATCCGTCTGGACCACTTAAAAATGGTTGCTTCTATTTCTCCTTCATGGTTTCCCATTCATTCTCCTGTGTTGGGGAGGAGAGAAAGCCTGTGGAGCAGGAAGCCTAACAGCACAGTGGGGATGCTGTGCTCCTTCCAGATGCTCAGCCCGTGGAATATGTCAGATTTGAAGCTGGGGTTGGGGAGCCAGCTGTACCACGGGGACCCCCTGCTCTGCTGAACATCTGATTAAATATAGGGAACTATGATGTTTCCTTTCAGCCTATAGAGGCTGGCCCAAGCTGTTCTTTGATGTGAAATTAAATCTATTCAAATTGGCAGGCTCTCCGCAAGAAGGGTCATGCTGTCTTTCTGTCTGCCTGCTCTATAATCCTAGTATCCCACAGTTTTCCCAGCTTGCCAGCTCATTTTCTTTTCCCATCCACATTTAATAGCCCGAATCCTGGTTCTGCATGCTGGAGGTCACCATTACCCTCTGGGCGGTTCAAAAGATGCCCTGGACGTGGCTTGTCAGTTGCCTCCTCCCACTCAGCCATGATTTCTTCTCTGTCTATAGCTGTGTCCTCCCTCTTCCTAACCCCTGCCCTTGCTCCAGTCTAAGCACATACACAGTCCTCGTTACTCCCCCGCTCACCTCCAGTGAGCTAGGGACTGGCCCATGAATACTAAAATATCCTTCCACATCGTGTATCACCCTCCACTTCTCACGCCTTGGGAAGTAAAGGGCTGTGTCATTAAGGCAATAGGCGGGAGCCGGGGGATTGCTGTCAGGGCTGAAAATGAGCCCCAGTTCTGTAGAAGAGCACTCCACTCTTAACTACAGAGCCATCTCTCCAGCCCTCGCCGCATCTTTCCAAAGAGTACGTTCTCCCCCAGTGGAAGGACTAGGCAGTGCCTTGGCAACCGTAGAGGATGAATAGCCAATGGTTGGCTCACACTGCACACCTTTAATCCCAGCACTTGGGAGGCAGAGGCCACGGGCTCCTTCTGGTCTACTAGAGAATTCTCGCCAGCCGGGGCTGCACCGGGAGAGCTTGTCTCACTCACCTCAAACTGGCAGGACCCACAGGTGTGGGTCCCATTCTGCTTTTTCAAGGTTATTGTCTACAGGTGTGGCTAATAGCCAGACCTGGTATTTCAGGTATTAAGTAGATCTGTTTCTACCTCAAACAAAAGTCTAAGGATCCAACTAGGTTCCTACTCTCTTAGGGAGATAACTATGGATTCCACCCAGGAAGTGGTTTCTCTACAGAATGTTTTGGTCTAGGGTGTGAGTGTTATTTGTCTGGTTCTGGCAACAGAATGTTTAAGAATGTAACCCATAATCCTTCAATTGGTCTGTTCATTCCTTGTATCATGTTAATGCCATTTTTTTTTAATCTTACTCCTACCTGTTAGGGTCAGGGTATTTAAACAAAATGGAAATTAAACACGGGTGAATCTTCAGTCTTCACTGGAGCTCCCTCCATTACTATCCCATGTTTCTGTCTCTTATTTCTCCTGTATCTTTGTTCCTTTGGCCTAATAATTCTAACCCTCACGTGGGCTCCTGGGAACGTAAGAACCCACCCGCCACGGCTCAGAGCTGGGCAGTAGTCGCGCCAGAAAGGACAACAAACAAAAACACTGTGCCACGTGCTGTGCTCGCTGGAGGAAACAGGGAGCCAGCAAAGACGGAGAGCCCTGCACTTGTGGGGCTTGCATTTGGGTGATGAACGTAACAATCAGGGAAAAAGCGGGGGATGCATGGAATATGTGAAGTAATGCAGTAATGCATGCAGGCCAGGAGGCTGAGAGCAGGAAAGGGGCCCATTCTTCTCTGTAAGAGGATGTGTATTTCAGATACAGTCAGGTTGGACTATTACACTTACAGCAGGAAACAAAACTCTGACGTTCAATCTGCTAGTACGCTGCGTGGTCTCATAAAGTCCTGCCTGGCAAAGGGAGTGTGTAAAACGGCTATGAGCCTGAACAGGCACAGCTGTTTCACAGACGTGCACATTGAAGCAAGCCAATCGTGAACGTTGGCAGTGACGTCACAAGACCTGAACTGGCAGTGTGGTCGGCCCACAAGCTGTTGCTTTTATCAACAAGGGTTGAGATTTAAGGAGCCGATAGGATACTGTGGGAGGTGACTGGTGTTCAAGGGCGTTTCAAGGTTGCAAAGCCAGTCTGCCCTTTAGTAATTCAGATGCCCTTCAAGGTGAGATGACAGTGTGTGTGTGTGTGTGTGTGTGTGTGCGCGCGCGTGCGTGTGTGTGCGTGCTTGTGTGTGTGTGCACGTGTGTGCGCGCGTGCATGTTCTTTGAGAATTTTTTATGTGCACACAATGCATTTTGATCATATCTACTTCTACCCCAACCCCAGTCCTGCCCATTTCCCTCCCAACTTCATGCTCCTCTGGGTTTTTTCAAAAAAAGGTTAGTGTGTGTGAACACAGCTACCTGAGATGACAGAGATACGGGGTTCCCTGGAGCAGGAGTTACAGGTGGCTGTGGACAGCCTATCATGTGTGCTGTGAACTACACCTGGGTCTTCTGTAAGATCAGCAATGTGCTCTAACGGAGCATCCCTCCAGCCTCTCTCCTCCTCCTCCTTCTCCTCTTCCTCCTTCTCCTTCTCCTCTTCCTCCTCCTCTTCCTTCTCCAAGATTCACTGAGCCCAGCTAGTGTTGCCTGTCTGTCCACAAATCTGGGGCCCTCCACTGGAACATGGACAATCCACCAACGGCTACATCCCCAGTGAAAAATAACTCTCCAGCCTCTAGCAGCCATGATTTGCCAATAACTGCTCAGGAAGTGGGGTGGGCCCCGTGAAATGAAATCTGAATTGTGTAACACAGCATGCCACTTACGGGGAGCCCACTGCCATGAGACACTGATGAATATCTATGTACCTCCCCACATAGGTAAGCGCCATTTCTTTAGTAGATAGAATATTAGAATAAGGTTATGAAGATTAAGAAATAGCAAGGAATGTGGTTATAATAAGTTTAAAAATGCAGACAAAATTTTGTGTACATAATATGACTGTAAATAAGCTAAGGCAAATTGTTTATATAAAAAGAAACTGAATGTTTTCATAAATTTAGTAATTGATCAGTAGATATCAACTCAGTAGTTGATTTTAACATTTTCCAACTTCATACTTCTATGTCTTTTTCTTTAATCAGAGATTTAAGAAGCCGGCACTGACTGGGAAGAGGGGCTGTAGAAGCATCTGAGAAGGCACAGGTGCTCCTCCTACCCAAGTCTGATGCCCAGGCTTAGTTCCTGGAGCTCCACGGCGGAATGAGCAAGCTCACTGCTGTGGGCCGTCCTTTGGGCTCCACCCATTGTGGGCAGGGTACATTCTCAAGCGTGAACACAAACGTGCATGAGTGCATGTGCACACGCGTGCACGTGCACACACACACATACTGTAAAGTGTTCTTTTAATAAATAAATAAAACTGAACTGGAGTTACCTTTCAGTGGTAGAGGTGTGTGCATGGGCTCATCTAGGAAACTAGAAAATCAGCTGAGACAAAGAACAAAACTATCTCAAAAATAACCTCTGTAAGCCCTCTTGTATTTGAACATATAGGAGACATTGAATGAGTCATAAAAATTCTGGTACCCAGAGTCCCCAAACATGTAAACTGGTTCCGTGGTGGATCACCCCTTCCCAGGCTTTTCCGAGCTGCGTGTTACGGGTCCTCACAAGGCGGCCATTTGTGTTTGTTTGTTCTCTTGTTGGTTTTGTGGGGCAGGGGGTTAACCTGGAACTCCAAGCGTACCAGGCAAGCACCTGACACAAACCACACTTAGGCCTTTGTGGTTTGCATTTTCTACCTCAAATGGCAGCAAGGGTCACATGGTAAAAAGTATGAATGGGTTAGAGGAAGAGGAAACACACCTCAAGGAGAGGTGCCCCCGTTTGTACTCTACTGGGGTGATGAACTCCATGGCCAAAGCAACCTGGGGAGGAATGGGTTTACTCAGCTCTCATGTCTACATCATGGTTTGTCATTGAGGGACGTCAGGACAGGAACTCAAGGGAAGAACCTGGAGGCAGGAACTGGAGCAGAGGCCAGGAAGGAACACTGCATACTGGCTCGCCCCTCATGGCTTGCTCAGTTTGCTTTGTTATACAGTCCAGGACTCCCTGACCAGAGGCACCGCCCCCAGTGGGCTGGGCCCTTCCACATTAGTCATAACTGCCCACATGCCAATCTGACTGAGACATTTCTCAGTTGAGGTTCCCTCTTCTCAGATGACTCTATCCTACATGAAACTGACCCCCAAAAGCTACAGACACACGAGGTTGGTCATTTCTTGATTTCACGCCTCACCTCTCAGAATCTAGACTTATCCACAGAGGCATTAGCGGGGATCCTCTCAAATACCCCAATGGTGAAGTCCTGACCATCTTCACAAGTTTTCTTCTTGGGGTTTCTCATTCAGTGGTTTCTGCAGCTCTTGAGGCCAAGTGGAGAAAGGTGAACATGGGCCGAGACCCTGCTATGGGCCTGACAGATGTGGTCCCCAGCTGGATAACTGGCGGAAGAACTGAGAGTGACGATTCCATTCATGTGTACCCACAGAGATGGTTTCACCGATACTGGAACCTGGTAGGGGACATTTATACAAATCCAGCCTGATACTGCCAGGAAACAGGCTCCAGGGCTTGCCCATCCAACTCCGTGACACTGACCATTCATTCCAGCTATCAGAGCCTGGTAGCTCCCATGACAGCAAGACCCCTTCTGGTGATAAAATTCTCCTTTCACAAAAGAATAGCAAGTTCTAGGAGAGTCAGTTTTTGAGGTGTGGAGGAAGAAGTTTTAGGCAAAGGCAAAGGAGAGGGTGTTGTACACCAGGGCCAGGAGAATATGAAAGAGGCCCTTTCTGTGATGTGAGCGTCCTAAGGATCCCAGGACCCGGCAGGTGACAGTAGGAGGTTCGTGAGTCTTGGCTACATAGGCAAGTCTGGCTATATAGAGAGGTCAAGGCCACCCTGTGCTATACAGTGAGACCCGTCCTCAAGTAAATAAATTAGTTTTTAAAAATGTTTTAGGATACTGAATAGCTTCCGGGAAGTGGATGGGAAGTGGGGGAGAATGAGATGGAGTTTCCAGGGTTGGTGGCCATGACAAATGATGTGTTCACCCAGGCAGAGAAGTGTAGACGTTTAATTAGAGGGGACACATGAGGGGGACTTGGGCAGGCCTGGGGTTCCTTTCAGCTCTTCTCAAGGTGTCCTTGTACTCACCTGTTCCTCCTCTCTCAGCCCTTAGCCAGTCCCCTCAGGGCTCTATAGGTTTCATCCTAAGAGGTGGCTGACAGAAGACAGTCTTGTGGGGGGAGGATGGCCAGGACACTCCTTGATCATAGCCTGATCATAGCCCTCACCTGGCCACACCCCTCTCAAGGGTCAAACTGGTGTCCAGGGAATCTCAACAAGCACCTGGGACCTTTCTTTTTCCTTATGGTGGAACCACAGAACCATCGCCATGGAGAGGGAAGGATTAGAACCTGGGTCTTGCCCGTAGAAGGGAGGGAACCAGAGCTTTCTGTGCTGGTCTGTAATCACCCAGAGGGCGGGCCACAGTGATTTCCTGCGGTTATAACGTTTGCATAATTGACATCTTGTCTTGTTTTCCGTCTCTTGACCACCTCCTCAGAGTGGTTAAAGAGAGCGAATCACAGGGTCCCGGTAACCCACAAATTGGACCCCAATCTTGTGTCATCAGAACTTTCTGAGTTCCGTTTCCATGAGAAACAAATCCGAACGTTGAGTGACGGAGCCGAAAACTCGTTGCCCGTTCTCCTCCAGGTATCACCTTGCAGGGTGTTAGGGCCTTGCTCCCCAGACTAGCTCAGCTTCCTCTAAATCTCTGAGATCTTACCACACAGCCGCTTCAGTGCATCTTTTGAATTATGGAAGTTTTGGTGCAACAAAGCAGTCACTTATTGCCTGCGGACTGAGTCAGAAACTGCCAGGCAGATCTTTGATACCTCAAGAAAGGTCTGCTCTCTTCTCCCCGAAAACACAGCCACCCACACTCTTCCCCTGCCCCTGCCTCCTGCCTCCAACACACGTCAGACTTCCCCTCAAAACATCAGCTTCCTCCTGGCACCGTGGGACTTAAGTCACCAAGTCAACTCTTCTTCGCTCTGGCTCACCCGTTTCCTGCCCCAGCCTGTTCAGGGCTAGCATCGTGATGCCTCACTTGTTCTGTGAAAGTTAAATGTCACCCTCTGAGGTTTACTTTGAAGTCCTTTGGCCATCGTATGTGGGAATAGTTACCTGTCTCCATCAGCTCCTCCCGTTTCTTCTTATGAGTGTTCACGGCTGTCTTTAAACCCCTATTTGGTAGTGGGGGTTCTTATTGCCTTTTATAAAAATAGCCAGACTTCTTCCCCCAGACTTAACTATGAACGGCGACACTCTCAGTGCATTTGAATATCTCATCTCACGGAACAATAAGCATTTGAGGTCAGAGCGATCACGGACCTCATTTCTCAGACAAGGAAACAGACAGTTCCGAGTGGCTGAGCTCCCTGTCTGAGGTCGCCCAGTTACTGCCCTCCCTCAGCCATGGGCGATTTTCTCTTCCCTCTCTCTCCTCGCTCTTATTCCACCCACAATGCTGCTACTCCGCCCCACACCGTCCCATGCACTTGGGAGTCAAGGATGAGTCCCCTAAAACCCTTCCCTGCAAGCAGGCACCCAGCACACTGGAGTAGGTGGACCAGGAGGGGCGGCCTGAACAGGGCCCTGTGGGCGGACTTGGAAGGGCAAGCTGGCGCCGGCGCCTGCGCCGCCTATCTGTAGCATCTGAGTGGGTGGGTGTGATGTTGCTTGTAAACCCACAGCCTCTCTTCCACTGGAACAGATGATTGCTTGCTTCCTCTGTCTCTTTCTCTGGTTTTTGAAACTTTTATTTCTTCCCCCCTTTGCCCCAGGAGAGCACTTTTGAAACTCGGCTGCGTTAAAATTACCGTTTGTGCCAATGGCCCCACTACTCTTCCTCTGGTCGTTTGTGTATTGGTGGGACTAGGGTGATGGCTCAGTGGGCCAGAGCTCTGGCTGTGAGGACTTAAGTTTGAATCCCCACATCAGCGTAAACAATGTGGGTGTGACCACAGTGGTCTGTGACCCCAGTGTGGGGGAGGCGAGGACAGGCAGAACCTAGGAGCACGCTGGCCATTTCTGTACCCAAACCCAAATTCCTCACACAAAGTTAGCATGTGCTGAGTCTGGCCAGGGGAAAGGGGGTGGAAGCAACTCGTGTGCCTGTCACCTCCACTCCTGACTCAGCAAACCTGTGGCCTTCTACCCTGTCACTTCCCCTCAAGGGATTCCTGTGTGTAGTGGAGGACCTGGGGCAGGGGTTCAATGCACAGGCCAGTCCCCACTGCTGCCTGTTCAGCCGCTCTGGGGTTTCCTGGGTGACATTCCAAGACAGACTGCCCTTCTCATCCCTCAGGTTTTCTCTAGGATGCGTTTTTGAAGAGCGTCTGCGCCCGGCTTCCCCTGAGCTCCTTGGAAAGGGCATTCAAAGCTGGAGATGATGGCGCATACCTATCATCACCATAATCTCAGCACTCCGGAGCCTGAGGCAGGTGCATGTGAGTTTGAGGCTATTCTAGGCTACACAGCGAGACACGATCTCATAAAGCTAATAAAAAAAGAGGGTGGTTTCCTCCTCCTTAGGATTAGAGTCACGCCATACTATGAAATAAAGACACTGAGGGTGACTTGAACCTGTGCTTTCTATAATAAAATAATACTCATTATTTAGATAGAACGCATAAGCGTTTATACACACATGTGTATATGGGGCAAGCATGAAGACTTGAGTTCCAATATCCAGCACCCATGTAAAAAGCTGGGGCATGCCACAAGTGCCTGTAACTCCAGTGCTGGGGACAGTGACCAGAGGCCAGCAGACCCTGGGAGCTCACTGGCCAAGCAAGCTTCAGGCCAACTGAGAGGCCTTATCTGAAGGGGATAAGAAACACGGTGACAGAGCCAGACATCTGAAGCCTTTGGTCTTCACACTAGAGCACAGGCATGAACTGTCATATATGCACACATATGTTCACCATACTCGCGTGTGGGTTCACACACATACACAGTCGTATCTGGGTATACAACGTGTGCCAATTCAACTTAATCTGACGGTAGCTAGAATACCAACAAAAGGCGGGCACAGAGACGTGAAATGATTTGCCCAGAGGCATCTGATAAAGAGCCATAGGGTCAGGATTGAACAATGGAAGATCATTTGACACTTCCGCACAGCTGGGGCTACCCTGGTCCCACCACCACCCCATCTTTCCCCTTCTTTCTTTAGTCCTGGCCACTCTGCTCAATTTCACCCCCTCTGCCCATTTACTCAACTGCGCCTTCTGTATTTAAAATTTAGTCATTTTAAGCAAAGCCCCTGGGCCTGATGTTTCTGCCAAGTTTTCCGTAGTTGGACATCCCTGTCACCATGGAAACCAATTCTTGGTTAAAACTGGATCCCTGGAGGTAAGAAGATGCTGAAAGGAAGCTAAGTGTGGAGCCTGGAGGGAAGTGTCCCACCCCCCTCCTCACACACATTCCCACCCTGGCAGCCTCTCTGCTGTCCTGCCCTCACCTGCCTAAGGAAATATTTCAGATCCCTGGAACAATGGTAAAGAATTCCAAAGTAGAGAAAGAAAACAGCATGACTGAAATCAAAATAGATCGATTAAATGCCTACACACACACACACACACACACACACACACACACACACAATTCATAGTGGTTTAAAAAGAAACGGCAAGGCTTGCTTTTCTTTCCAGCTTGCATACGAATTATGGAGAAAGATAGCCTGTCATAAACTGAATTTGTAGCAAATTATTTCAAAAACAGAATTATGAAAGTAATTTTTTTTTACAGCTAGATGAGTAACAACCTGTTCACGCTGGTCAAACACGAAATACAGCTGATGTGGATGCACTGAATAGCTTTGGAATGGTGTGTCGGGGAATTATAACACCCTCAGCAAGGAACAGAGTGAGACACAGGAGGCGCAAGATGGCCTAGGTTGGGCACCCCTGGGCCCCGATGTGGGAGGCCAGGGAGGGAAAAGAGGTTCCTGAACGAAGTAAGCTGACTTTTACCCTACTGGCCTGTCTCAGGGGAGAGTGACTGAGTACGCTCAACAGATTCCAGCTGCCCTATTGGAACAGAGCCAGCAAAAGCCATCTTCCCCTTTCTCCTTGGCTGTAAGACCTGGGAGGCCAGCCTGGTTAAAGAGAAAGTTGGGAGAGGCTGCAAACATCCAGAGCCAGCTCCCCCTGGCCCCCACCAGCAGGGTACCCCTTTCCTCTCACAGAGACCCACTGCAGACTGACAGCTATTCCTCTATCCAAGGCTAGCCCAAAGGGAGCTCCCCCTACATGTGGGGGGTCTCTGTAGGGGCCTGTGTGTATCTATGCTTTTAAAGCAGGAGATAGTCAGGCAGCTGCCTCCCACTTAGGTTTTAGTCTGAGTCTCTTGATAAAGTGGGGGAGGTCCCCGGAATCCTGAGCTGGGGCCCCAGACCTGCTTGTGACCTTCAAAGTCTCAGGTTGTCTTTCTTGTGACAAGGATGCTCCTATCCTAGGCTAGAATTTGTACAAAATTGCCTTAAGAGATCATATTGCTTTGTTACTCCAAGTGTGGTCCTCAGTCCAATAGCATCTGCTATGAGACACTCATCCGAAATGTGGGTTTGGTGAGCCCTCCTTGCCCAGAATCTGCAAATCATCCTCGGGGGAAACTGTGTTCAAATTAAAGACTCCAAAGCAATGACGTCAAAAGCTGCAGCTCAGAACCTGTGAGGTGTCTCTGGCTAATGACCTGTTGAATGCTGGTCTTATTTGCTCTGTGAGGTCAGGCCCCAGCCTGGATTATCTCTACTGCCCCCACTTTTAGGCCCCATGCCTCTTGTATAGTGGGCTCTCCATGTTCCCATGGGGGAACATACAGGATATTTCTGAATCAGCAAGAGAGCCATGCATTTGGTACCTGGATTTGTCACTTGGTACCCAGCCCAGTGCGGTGGCACAAAAGTTCTCAAACTTGACTGTGCCTGTGATCCCCTGGGAGCCCTGGTGAAGATGCACACTCCTGCCTCACCTGCAGAGTGTCCTCCTGGGCAGGGCTGGGGTGGAGAGAAGGCTCTGGTGGCTGCCCGTGCTCTCCACCAAGGCTAAGCAGTGTGGCAGCGGTTTCAGGCTCTGGTGGGCCTTTGTGTGGCTAAGGCCACCTGGCACAGGGCGTAGGTCAAAGGGCCATGGGGCCAGAGGTAGGGTGGAGCTACAGGCTGGACCTCAAAGCAGAGGGTCATTCCTAAGGGCTGCCATTTCCTCCCCACTCCCAGACTCCCACATCGTTGGGGTGGGGCTCAGGTGTGTACACTGTGTTAAGTAGACAGGCGCTCTTTGGTTCCTTA